GCCGGCGGAAAATTGCATTGTGCTTTGGCTGCGACGAAAACGTGAGGGGCGACAATTACAGCCCCTCCCCCCGCTCCGCCGGGAGCCCTTGAGGCCTAATTGCCGTGCGTGACAATTTCAGCGCACCTGGGACTCGTGGCCAGGCGGCTAATGGGCCTGCTTTAATTCCTTCCCCGTTCCGCCGCGCTCCCCTGAGAGACCAAAGGGAAGGGCAGCAATTTGGCTGGAGGAGGTAGGAAGAAAACTCGGGAGGAACAAAGGCGAAAGGCCAAGGCGAGGACGGGAGGAGCTGAGTTTCCTTTTGGGCGTTGCTCTGTGGACCGGAGCTGGGTTTTAGACTCCTACAATCCCAGAACACGAGAACTGGAAGGGACCTCGAGAGGTCATCAAGTCCAGTCTCCCGCCCTCCCGGCAGGACCAAGCCCCATCTAGACCATCCCTGGTAGATGTCTACAGAATCCTAGAACACTAGAACTGGAAGGGACCTCAAGAGGGCATCAAGTCCAGGCCCCTTCCCTCATGGCAGGACCAATGTGGTCGCATCTTCATCACTGGAGATATTGAAGATTAGGTTGGATAGACATCTACCAGGGATGGTCTAGATGGGGCTTGGTCCTGCCGGGAGGGCAGGGGACTGGACTTGATGACCTCTCGAGGTCCCTTCCAGTTCTAGTGCTCAATGATTCAATGATTCTATAGACATCTACAATCAATGGACTCTGGAGATATCGAAGAGCAGGTTGGATAGACATCCACCAAGGATGGTAGACGGTGCTTCGCCCTGCTGTGTGGGCAGGGGACTGGACCTGATGACCTCTCAAGGTCCCTTTCACTTCTAGGGTTCTATGAGTCTGTAGACATCTACGAGGGACGGTCTAGATGGGGCTTGGTCCTGCCATGAGGGCAGGGGACTGGACTTGATGACCTCTCAAGGTCCCTTCCAGTTCTATGATTCTGTAGACATCTACTGGCAGGACCAATGTGGTCGCATCTTCATCACTGGAGATATTGAAGATTAGGTTGGATAGACATCTACCAGGGATGGTCTAGATGGGGCTTGGTCCTAACGGGAGGGCAGGGGACTGGACTTGATGACTTCTTGAGGTTCCTTCCAGTTCGATGATTCAATGGACATCTACTAGGGATGGTCTAGATGGGGCTAGGTCCTGCCAGGAGGGCAGGGGACTGGACTTGATGACCTCTTGATGTCCCTTTCAGTTCGATGATTCCATGGACATCTACCAGGGATAGTCTAGATGGGGCTAGGTCCTGCCAGGAGGGCAGGGGACTGGACTTGATGACTTCGCGAGGTCCCTTTCACTTCTACTATTCTAGGAGTCTTATGTGCTGCCTCTACCTCATCATGATAGGTTCCATGGAGGAGTTAGCGGGAACTACCTAACGACCCGGCTGCTACTTGCTAGCACACCCCTGTTTAAAAATGCCCTTTCCGGTGTCTGAGAAGGTCTCAGCCTGTGGTTCCCACCGGTGCCGTGTGCCCAGGGGAAGTGGCATCGCTCCCGTGGAAGGCCGAGCAAGGAGGGTCCTCGGGCCAGGGGCGGAGCTTCCGGTGCCGGCCCCCACACAAATTCGTCCCTCCCTTCGCGTACCTCAAAAGTCACTTGCAATGGGAGATAAGTTAGGGTGAAGAGCGGGGAAATGGGATGTTGGGACCGAAACGGGGCGACCGCCCTGCCCAACGGCATGACCGACGTTGCCGTGGGAATGTCTCCCTAGCAACGGGCGCCATGACAACGCCGTGGCCTCTCCATCCCTAGCGGTTTTGAAGGCCCGGCTTGACCAAGCCCTGGCTGGACCAATTGAGTCGGGGTTGGTCCTGCTTCGAGGCTCTTCTGAGCCCGTGCAGGAAACGAAGGTCGTGCAGACAGGAAGTTGCAGGCCCAGCTACGAGGGAAGGGGGCCAAGGAGTAATTTGTCGCAGGCCCCTTTGAAATGCTTCCAGGGGCTCTAAGGGCTTGGGGGCGGGGCATGCTGCAGTCTGGGCAGCGCTATGGACTGATTGACCGAAACCCCGCCCCTTCCTTCAGAGGCCCCGCCCTTTCTGGGCGCACCGAGCTGCCCGCCC